TTGAATTGTCATAACTGTGTCCTAACAGTGTTGGAGACTGATTTTTTCCCCACAAAGTCCATCAGTGAAAGCCAAGCCAAGGGGATAGTGTCTGAGGTGGGGCTGCTGGAGGCAGCTGGGTCCCGTGGGCTCAGGAGCCTGTGGCCTCCCCTCCTTCCCCTACTTGCCCTCATGGGAGGACACGGGGAAAGTGGCCATCTGCAAGCCAGCAAGACACTCTCACTGGGCATGAGTGGACACTGCAGAGGCTCTGCCTGAGCACCCCTGGGCAGTGGTCTTCGCAGTCCAGGCAGGCAGCCATGCCCATGCTCACACACCTGCAGAACTGGACCTGCCAAGGTTGACCACAAATACCTTTCAAAACAGCACCTGGGCCCACCTGAGCCATAGCTGGGCAGCCCAGGGTGGCTCCCTGGGGTTGGGGGAGCAGATAGCCCAGGTGTCCCCCCAGGACCAGTGTCCTCCCTCATGCAGTCCTGGCCCCAAGCCCAGCACTGAGTCTGACGGAGTGGCAGCCCCGGAGACCCTGCAGTGCCCACGGGTCCTCTTCTGTCCACTTGCCCAGCCTCCAGCCTCCTCCTCAGCTGACAGCGTGGGCGCTCACGTGGCTGGCGCTCCTGAGACACCTTTCCACCTCTGCAGGTCAGACGGGGTTTTTCAAATCTCCCTTCTCCGCCCCTTCAGTTGTCGGATTGACTCTTCTCTCCTTGGGTCCCTTGCCTCCGCGTCCTGAGGAGCCACGCAGTCCCTTCGACACCCGCAGCAGCCTCTCCAGCAGACGCCCAGCTCCTCACGCTGCGCTCTGCCTTCCCAGCCCCTGAAGAGCCAGGCTCGGCCATGCGCCTGCCCTGGTTTCCAGCACCTGCTTCCTCCCTCCCCTGCAGCCTCGCTGGGGTGGCCTTCGCTGTCCACGCTTCTGCCAGCGTCTGGCCACGCCATGGGCATGCTCTCTGTGTGTCAGACGCCCGCAGCGATCTCCTGGGCCCCCCGGCCACGCTGTGCCAGCCTGCGCCATCCCGCCCCAGCACTGCTTCCACGTGCACAGCCTCCACGGCAGCTCCCGCTCGCTCACACCACCTGCTCCTGCGCCTGTGGGGTGCTGCCACGCTCAGTGCCACGGCCAGCACTTGGCACGGGCCTTCTGGCTGCGGCCTCACGGGCAAGGGAGGCACAGTCCATCGCGAGGGCCCACAGGTGCCCTCTGGATGCCATCACAGTGTCAACGGAACTCAGCATGAGCTTTGAGTGGGACACTCACCACAGCAGCCGCCCGAGGAGAAGGAGTGACGGGAACCAGACCTGGCTGGGAGGGGACACTGCAGACACCCTAAGAAACCAGGGCCCGAAGGGCCAGCTCTCCTCCCCAGCCTTCCTCGGGCCTAAATGGCGGCCCCAGGAGCCTGACTTCTCCCTCTTGATATGCAAACAGCCCTGGGCCAGGCCCTCCAGGTCTAAGGAGCCTGTGAAGGGCCCTTCTGCTGTCTCTGGGAGCACGCTCCATGTCAGGGGCCCCACAAGGCCTTCAGCCACACAGACCAGGAACTTTTTAAAAAAGACACAAGCCCCGGGTGACAGGAGGGGTCCAAGAGGACGCCAAATGACCTGTAAACGTCCTGAGAGCCTGGTCAGGGCTCAGAGCTGGAGTCCCTCCTCCGGGCCTGCTGGAGTGAAATAGAGTCTGGATTCTCCTCCTCCCCAGCGCTGCTGGTGTTCTCTGCCCGTCTGTTTCCACAACAAAAGGACAGAGAAACCAGGGCCACGTGAAGACAGCGCCCCACCCAGTAAGGCCAAGGATGTACCCCCTGGACCGGCTCTCCCTCAGATGCCTGAGAAGCAGCAGGCAGACGGATGGTCTCTAGCATCATGAGCAAGATAACATCTGCAGGGTAGGCCTCCCACGGTGGTGCACCTGACCCCCTCGTGTGTCAGGGACACAGGGATGTTGATGAGCTGTGCTCCAGACCCCCTGGAGGTGCAAGCGCTGTGCGGCGGGGGCCAGGGGAAAGGGCAGAAAGGCCCCTCACAGCGTCACCTGCATCCCCAGGACACACCATGCAAGGGTGCTCAGAGCGCACGTGCAGTGCTGCGAGAGGCTTGGGCCCGGGTGGGTGCTCCCCAAGTTTCAGTAAAGAAGTGGCGTCTGTGCCTCCCGCACACGGCCACTGAAGCATGAGACTGGGCACCTCGAGCGACACGGGGCACCCAGCGTGCCCATCCTCAGAGTGACCAGACAGCATCACTAGATTCTGTGTCCCACGTCCCTCACCCACACCTACATGTCTGTCCTCAGCTCCACAGGCCACAAACCGTCCACAAGGGCTGAAAGCAATTCTGCAGGGGTAGCCACGGTTCGGATGTCCTTCAAAACTGCGCTCACACCTGCGAGGACAGCAAGGAACAGCAGGGGAAAAGGAGCACATCTCACCCAGGTGGAGGCGGCACACCAGCAGCAGCCCTTTCCTTCACAAAAGGAAGAAACTATCGTGGAAAAAAACCCTTATTTTTGCTGCAGTTCTGAGGACTGAACTCTGGGCCTTGCCAAGGAGCCGGGCAGGCTCCCACCACTGAGCCACACCCGGAACATTCTATGTTCGAGAAGTTTAAATGGCAAACAATTAAAGAGCTCTTGAAGAGCAATTCAAACACTATTTGATACCATAAATTCTCAAAGATGACAGAACCAGCAATACGTGAGCCTTCCCTATATGATCGATATTAAATAACAGTGATCTCTGGAGACTGCTGTGCTGCAGGACCTTCCAGATCACCACGGTGCGGGAGGCAGCCTGCCTCAAACGTGCAGAGCCTAGGCTCACTTCCCAGCAGAGGAACGGAAGGGCCGGGCTATCCAGGGAGTCAAGGTTCACAAACAGCTGCTTACAAAGTACCACTTTTAAAAAGGTCAGAGCATCCTGAGTGAAATAAGCCAGGCTGCGGGACACACACCTGTGAGTGTGCCACAATCAGATGCCCTGTTTTGTACGATTATTATGCACAAATTAAAAAGAGAGAGAATTGGTGCTAGCTTTGCGAAGAGAACCTCCAAGCCTTCCCAGGGAAGCGCCTAGCGGCATGGCCTCCCGGGATGGGTGCCCCAGGGCTCCGCACCACCAACAGGTCCTGACTTGTGGGCCCGAGGACACCTGCAGAGGGGGCTTTCTCTCTGTTCTGGGACCGAGGGGCACAGGAGTGCCCTGTCGGCTCATGGGGGAAGTGTGTCCTGGTGCACACCATTGAGCAGGTGCTGGTCTCATGCACCGACGCCCTGGGTTCCAGCCTAGCAAGGCCCAGCTCAGCCTCCTCAACTGTGCCTGGGTGAGCCACAGCCTCGGCATGTTGGGAAGCCACCGGGCCTCGCTCCCAGCTCCAGCCGCCTCCCCGTGGCAGTGCTGGGGTACGTGCAGGACTTACCTCAGGGTCCTCAGGTCCCACAGTCTCACCCCCTCACCAACGGCTGTGGTCAGGAAAAGATTATAGGCCTGGAATTGCTGGGTCGTAAAGGACGATCCCTGAAATCAGAAGGGAAAAGTCAAGACGGGTTTCTAAAGGCTGGATTTTAAAGCATTCTGCTCCTGGGCACAGGGGTGCACACGTCAACCCAGCACCTCCAGAGGCTGAGGCAAGACGATTGCAAGTTGAGGCCAGCCTCAGCAACTTAGCGAGGCCCTGTCTCAAAATAAAAAATGAAAAGGGCTGGGGCTGTAGCTCAGTGGTGTAGCACCCTGGGTTTCAGTCCCACTGCAAGTACATAAAGACATCGTGCCACTGACGTCCGACAATATTTCATTCTTTACAGTCAGAAATCAACACAAACCTCTTACTATAACAATTTCAGAGTCGAACTTGAGAACTTCCACGCACAGTCCTGCTCTGCCCCACAGCCTTTCAGTCTGTGGCAAGCTGTGTGTGTGAATATGGTCCACAGGAGCACATGGCGCAGAGAGGGCAGGCAGCCCTGGCTTGTGCAAACTCAGGCCTCAGAGTCATGTCACCAAGGAAGCCATCCTTGGTGTGCACGCACTGTCCAGCAGCTGAGGCTGTGCACTGAGCAGAGGGAGCATCAACCGTGAGTGGTCATTTTCTCTGTGTGTCATGCCACCAGAGGCATGGCACCGGAGCAGCAGAGGATGACAGAGCAAGGGGTCAGCAGGCCGACATTCCTTTTCCAAGTGAGGGTCACAGCCAGTCAGCACGGCATCCGGGACGCCTCAGTGAGGCCCTGCTTCTGCACCCATCGTCCCACCTAAGACCTGGCAGGTGAGTGCAGAGGCCTGGGCAGCGGGAGGCACCGAGGAGGGGCCCTCAGGTGGCCACCTTCCCTGCTGGTGTCAAAAGACACCCAGAGTGAGACTCAAGGGACGGGCACCTGTGGGACCTCTGGCTGCAAACATGACTCAAGGCCTGGAGCCGGCTAGGGCCCGCCTCCCGCCAGCACCTGGCTGCCCAGCTCTGCAGACAAGCTCCAGGAGGGACGTCCCCAAGCACGTGTGTTTGGAGTCCACCTGGAATGACTCTTCTCGAGCAGCAGGAAGCAGCGGGCCCTGCTCACTGGCACACTTGGCCCACTTGGGCTCAGCTCTGCCGTCTCACCCCCAGCACCACCTCGCTGGGCCCTCCCCCAGCCCCAGGTGGGAGCTGAGCTCAGGTAGCACGGCCATGCGCGGCCCACACCTGCAGCGCAGCCTCCCAGGGTGGCCCAGTGACCCTGCACCTGCAGGCCACCTGCTGAGCGCTGCCTGGGAAAGGCACACAGCACAGGAGCTCAAGATAGGAAGCCGGAGGCAGAGAGAGCCGTCAACTGCCCGGGAAGAGAGCTTCACAGCCTGTCCACCTGATGGACGGTGAGGAGGAAGAAACCCCCGCAGGAAGGACAGGAATGCACAACACAAGGCACACGTGAGGTGAACCCACCGCCCCGCGGCAGGCACGGCACTCACGCCAGCCCACAAAGGCTCAGGAAGACCTCTGCAGGAGCATCCCAAGGACAGCAGGGCCTCCTTCTTCAGAAGGCTGAGTGGAGTGGGTGGCACGTGCACAGAGCCTGAGCAGAAATGGTCCTGAAACACAGCTGAGGTGGACGTGCAAAATGCAGACTTCACTATGCTGAGTAACACGGCCTCCAGGTTCCCACAGCCACTGTGGGTAGACAGTAAGGGGGACTGACAAGATGGCAGCCCAAGTGGGAGAGGGAACGAACACACTTCCCTCGCTATTAAAAAATTGAGAAGCCTTGAACGAATTAGAAGCAATTAACTAGGTTGAGCCATGGGCATCCATGGAGACCTAGAGCTGATAGCTAGAAAAAGTGCATTATTTTGTATAAGTGTGAAATACCTATTTTAAAAACAAGCCAGAGGTCAAGTTTTCCACTGAATACAAAATCTCAGAAGATATGAGAACATCAGCACTAACAGAATCCACGCTCTGCACGCCTGTCCTCAAGTCCGACGTCCGCAACAAACAGAGGATGAAGACACCTCCCACACAGAGACCTCAAAGCACACCCCAGATCCTAGTCTGGTGAACGTGGGAACTCATGCCGCGTGACAGGAAGAGTGCGGCCGAGCGAGCTGCGCGTTGAAGGCCTGTCCTCAGGCGCTGCGGACGCTCCTCCTCAGGAAGCAGCCAGCTCTTCTTCCTGCACACCCGTCCCAGAGCACTGCAGCCGAGCTGAGGAGGTGAGGAGGCCATCTGCACGCCTGGGGCCCACCCAGGCAGCCGCCTACTGTTGGGAGCCGGCGACCGCACCCTGAAAATGGCGCTGGCCTCCTGCTTCTGATGACTCAGCGGTTAGAGTTGTTAGAGGTAAACAACTCCTTGTAGGGCTGTGGGGCTGGGCTCTGGCCTGCTTCCGCTGCGCTGTACCTATTGGACTCCTCCACGTGGTGCTGGTTCATTGGCGGGGCTGGGTACTTAAGCTAGGGCAGACGGACCGCTGGCACGCGCGCGCTTTCTTCTCTTGTTCCTGTTTTCTCATCATGATCCAAAGGTCCTGAGTAAACTGCTGAAAGAAGAATCCTGCGTCGTGTTTCCTTTGCCGGCGAGGGGTCACGACAGCCTACAGCAGACACACCCTGGACCACGAAGCCGCTCTGACCAGCGGGCCCCCGGCTGCGAATGCCGGGAGCTGCCAGCTCCACTGCTCGCGCACAGCAGGGCTGGCCTGGCCTCCCCCAGCGCCCAGCAGGGTGCAGCTCAGCCCCTGAGGAAGCCTCAAGATGAGCCACGGGAAGGAACCGACCCAGGGAAGGAACGGGCCCACGCAGCAGGGCTGGGCCAGCGTCACCCAGCCTCCCCAGGACCCGCTGCTGGGGACTCGCCAAGTGGCACTTGCTCCCAAGACAGTGTGAGCTGAGGGGGAAGGAGCCTGAGACTCTTCACTTGAGATCATGGAAATCAGGCCATCCGACCCCGTTCGGAGGTGGCCGGCACAGGCTGCAGAGCCTCCCTGCCTCCCACGGCCACAGCCCTCAGCTTCTCCACACGGACGCTCCATTTGGAAGTCATTTACAACTGCTCATCCTGGACTGTGGGCCAAAGAGTCCTCTGCAGGACAGTGCTCTGGGGAAAGGCCACTGAGGAGGGGGAATCCTGCCACAGGCACCGGGCACTCGGTGAGGCTCACCCCGACTCTGCCCGGAGCGCCGCCTAGCACCTGGTAGAAACCGCGTTCCCACCTCGCCAGGCGTCCCTGTGGAGACCTGGACGGGCGCTCACAGCCAGCTCCGGCGTCCTGTGCCCACAGTGCCCCTTGCACACTGCGGGGAGGCAGCTCTGGACAGACCCCGACCCAACCGCCCTCAGCGGCCAGGCCAGCCACCTCTGAGCACCAACTGTATGCCAGGAAGGCACGGATCCAAGCCTTCCCCCACACTCCCAGGCTGGTCAGCAGTGTGAACTGGTGGCAAAGTGACAGTCAAGTCTGCCACCCAGAGACAGACTCCTCGGAGCTGGACATGGATGGCCCAGGCCATAGAGCAGAGATGGAAAGCAGAGAGCAGGCACACTGGGACTGACCCCTGGAAAGCGCCGGGGATACCCAGCACATGGCCACCCTGCTCAGTGGGCAGGGCCCTGGAACTGGAGCTCAGAAGCCAGTGGCAGCCCATGACAGCCTTCCCCAGGTCTGGACCAGTGCCAGGTTGCCCAGCCTGAGCCCAGAGGGTCCAGCCCAGCCCCCGAGGAACCCACAGATGAGCCACGGGAAGGGACGGGCCTGCTGGGTCTGGCTTCTGTCCTTAAGGGTCCAGGAGCCTCTGCTGGCAGGGGGTGCCAAGAGTCCCGAGGATGGGTTGCCTGGGCGTGGGGACAGGGAGACGGAGAGGGAGCCAGGCCACCCCCCACGAGACCCCATGAGATCGCTCCCCTGCCGAGGTTTGTCTGGGCCCTGGGGTAACAGGTCAAATGTCAAGGCCTAAAATAGTGATTCACACGAGTTACACTGAAATTGGCAGCAGTTCCGAAATTACATCCTAATACTTTGTTTATTAAGAACTAAAGCTCCTAATGTTACAAACAACGTACTGGATTCTTCCGCTTTTCCACGTTGTGATCAGCACCCCTGAGGAGAACAACTCAGAAAAGGAAACGTTTGTGGGGGCTCATGGGTTCAAAGATTCGGTTCGTGTTCAAACAGTCTGTGTTTCTTGCCTGAAGTGAGGCAGACACATCATGGGGAGGCTTGTGGAAGAAGGCTGCTCAGCCTGGCCGCCAGGAGACGGGCAGGAACCAGGGACAGATGTAGCCAGGGCACAGCCCTAGGACCCACCTCCTCCAGCCACGCCCCACCTGACCATACGACCACCCTGCAGTCCAAGTCCATTCAAATCACTAATCCACCAAACGGCCGCTCACAATGAGCTCACTGTCCCCGGTCACCACTGCCTAAGAGACCCACCTCTGAGTCTTGCTGGACTGAGGACCAGGCTTCCCACACAGGCTTTTCCGGGGACACTAAAGATCCCAACCGTAACGTGTGTGTCCAGAACTTACTTTATTCTGACAGATCTGATGGATGGGCCGTGAATGGGCTTCTGCTATCACTGCAGCACTGCAGCCGGTGTTGAGGTCGAAAACTTGCAAAGTCCTGTTGCGGCCAGCTGTGAGGACCACATCTGCAGCAGCTGAGTTAGGGAGCCTGCACGGTGGCCCGGCCCACAGGGAGGCACAGCTCTGTGCACACCCGGGGGTGCACGTTCTGGGGAGGCGCAGCTCTGCTCAGTGGACTGACTGACCAGAACCTCTGCAGCTCCACAGGGAAGTCCTCCCAGCACAGCCCCACTCGGCCGGCCCCCAGGTGTACACAGGAGCAGAGGGTGCTGCTGGGAGATGGGAGACGGCAGAGGAGCATGTTCTGCAGTTGGCCTTGGTCTACCTCGGCCAGACTGAGTGGACGTGTCCAGGAAATGTCCAGATCAGCTAGAGGTGGAAATGTGGGCAGTCTGAATACAGACCAGATGAGACCGCTGCGGGGCACAGCCACATGGGGGGCAGCACCTGGAGCAGCCCAGACCCACACGTCCAGAGAGCACAGGCGCCGTCTGAGTGGACAGGCGAGGGGCCATGTGTGCATACAGGGATCGAGTGACCACCCACACTCCCCAGCGTCTCGCCCGAGCACTGTGGCAGACCTGCCGGGCAGAAGCCGGGGCCCAGGCTGGCACACACAGACGGCACAGCTGAGGTGCGAGCCGCGGGGGCCCCTGCTGCCAGGGCTCCCTCTTCCCCTTCCACAGGACCCGGGGCGGAGCCCCACACTCCAGCTTCATGGCGTTCCCGCAGACCCCACAACGTCTCCCCAGGCCTGGGGAAGGAAGCGCACCTGGAACCCTCAGCCTGTGTCTGAATGAACTAGAGCCTTTACCCATGAGGAGATCTGATTCTAAGTGAATAAAACCAATTTTTTTGATTAAAAGTGACGACATTACCCATACACAGCCCGAGTCGAAGCTTGGACTCGACGGTGCACTCTGCGGGAGCAGCAGCTCGGGGTCTGGCAGTCCTCCCGTGAGGGCCTGGTCTGCTCCAGGACCTGTCCTGACAGCTGCCCCCTGGAAAGCCCCACACTGAGAGGAACATCACCGTCGTCCAGTCGCTGCCAAGAGCGTCAGTGCCCCGAGAACGGCCCCGAGCAGCCTGTGCCGCACAGCACCAGACATCGGAGCTCACTGGCTGGCAGCTGGAAGACCCAGACAAGGATACGGGAGTAGAAGTCGTTCACCGCTGACAAGCTGGTCACCTCAGTGGCCCCCCGGGTGGACAGCCTGAGGACACACTCGTACCTGCTCCTGGGCTTATACCTGGAAGGAAAGTAAAGAGATCACCTGTTTCCTCCCTCCACAGCTACCCAGCCAGCTTTGCCACGCCAGAAGGCTCACCGGGCTCTCGGCACCTAGCAAGGCTGGGTGTCCCTGGGTCCTGGCAGCAGGGACCCTCATCTCCTTTAGAAAGGGCCTTTGGTTTCTATTGAGAAACCCCAGCTTTTCCTCTAGGAAAACTTTGTGAAGACAACATCTCATATGCCTAAAGTAACTCATTCCCAAATAGGACAAGTGACTTTGTCCCCGTATTCCAAAAGGAGCCCGCATGCTTCCCCAGCGCCAGCCAGGTAGAGAGCACCTGTGTGCAACTTGAACCCCCCCGCGGGGCTCTTTCCCGAGGAGCACATACGCAGCGCGGGTGGCTTTCACAGATACAGGGTCTAGGTCCCCAGAAGTACCTCCCAAAGTCAGGCACCAGCAGAAACCCAGGAGGTGGTCCCAGCAAGGCCATAGCTGAGCAGGCACAAGGCAAAAAGGACATCAGAGGAAGAGCCAGGCCGGGCCAGGGCAGACGTCCTGCAGCCCGGGGCCTGGGTGTGGACACACTCAGCAACAGCAATGGAGGAGGCCATCAGGGACAGCACAGAACCTGGGAGGGTGGGGACAACGGAGCAGGCCAGGGGAGTGACCTGCAGGGACAAGCTGTGAGCCACCTAGCCCAGGGACAGGCCCCAGAGCCACCAACGCAGGGTTTGAGGGACTCAGGGAGAACAGCCACACACTGAGAGACAAACTGAGGCCAATCTCAGGAGAGACTTGGGGAAGAATGTCCAAATTATTATGATAAAAACTGCCTGACAAATACAGAAGATGATTAGAAACCATTTTGAAAATGTACACTCCCGTGAAAGAGAAAACAGCAGGATGTAAAATCAACTCCTAGACACATGTGATCTGCCCAGAGGGAACCAAGGGACACACAGGGTGAACAGAGCAATGTCAAGCAATGAAATGGGGGACACTGTCCGGAGCCTTCCGACCAAGGAGAGCCAGGACCAATGCTTCTCAGCCGAGTTCCTCAAGACCTTCAGAGAAGGTTAACACCAGATTATTCCATGAAATACAAAAGGAGGGAACCCTTCCAAATTCATTCCATGAAGCTAATATCACCCTGATACCAAAACCAGACAGAGACACATCAAGGAATGAAAACTTCAGACCCGTATCCCTGATGAACATAGATGCGAAAATTCTCACTCAAATTCTGGCAAATCACATACAAAAACATTAAAAAGATAGTAGTGCACCACAATCAAGTGAGGTACACCCAGGGACACAATGTTGGTTCAACATATGGAAATCAATAAATGTAATTCATCACATCAATAGACTTAAAAGCAAGAATCATGATCATCTCAATACATTCAGAGAAAGCATTTGACAAAATACAGCACCCTTCATGTTCAAAACACTAGAAAACTAGGGATAGTAGGAACGTACCTCAACACTGTAAAAGCTATTTATGCTAAGCCCAAGGCCAGCATCATTCTAAATGGAGAAAAATTGAAAGCGTCCCCTCCAAACACTGGAACAAGATGTATTCAACATAGTCCTTGAAACTCTAGCCAGGGCAAGCAAACAGATGAAAGAAATTAAAGGGATATACATAGGAAAAGATGAACTAAAACTAACACTATTTGCTGACAACATGATTTGATACTTAGAGGATCCAAAAAATTCCACCAGAAAACTTCTAAAATAAATAAACAAATTCAGCAAAGTAGCAGGATGTAAAATCAATACCCACAAATCAAATGCATTTCTATAAATCAGTGATGAATCCTCTGAAATAGAAATTTGGAAAACTACCCCATTCACAATAGCCTCAAAAAAAAAATCTTGGGAATCAATTTAACAAAAGAAGTGAAAGACCTCTACAAATGAAAACTACAGAACACTACAGAAGGAAACTGAAGAAGACCTTAGAAGATGCAAAGATCTCCCATGTTCTTGGGTAGGAAGAATTAACATTGTCAAAATTGCCATACTACCAAAAGAGTTATACAGATTCAATGTGATTCCAACTAAAATCCCAATTTCATTCCTCATAGAAACAGAAAAAGCAGTCGTGAAATTCATTTGGAAAAACAAGAGACCCAGAATAGCCAAAGCGATTCTTATCAAGAAGAGTGAAGCAGGAGGCATCACTATACTACAAAACTATAGTAACAAAAACGGCATGGTACTGGCACCAAAATAGACATGTAGACCAATGGTACAGCATAGAAGACACAGAGAAAAGCCCACACAAATACAGTTGTCTCACTCTAGACAAAGGGGCCAAAAACATACACTGGAGAAAAGACAGCCTCTTCAACAAATGGTACTGACAAAACTAGAAATCCATACGTAGCAAAATGAAATTAAACTCCTCTCTCACCCTACACAAGACTCAACTCAAAGTAGATCAAGGACCCAGCAATTAGACCAGAGACCCTGTGCCTAACTGAAGAAAAAGTAAATCCAAATCTTCATCATGTCAGATTAGGCCCAAACTTTCTTAACAAGTCACCTAAAGTACAAGAAATAAAATCAAGAATCAATAAATGGGATGGATTCAAACTAAAAAGCTTCTTCTCAGAGCTAGGGATGTGGCTCAGCACTGGGTTTGATCCTCAGCACCACATAAAAATAAATAAAAAAATAAAGGCACTGTGTCCCACTACAACATAGACATATATAACCAAGGGGGTGAAGAGAGAGCCTGCAGAATGGCAGAACCTCTTCACTACACACACATCAGATAGAGCACTAATCTCCAGGATATATATAAAGAACTCAAAAAACACCAAAAAAGCAAATAACCCAATCAATGAATGGGCTAAGGAACTAAAGAGACTCTTCTCAGAAGATGATATACAATTAATCAACAAACATTTGAAAAAAATTAATGACTCTATTAATTAGAGAAATGCAAGTCAAAACTACTCTAAGATTTCATCTCATTCTAGTCAGAATGGCAGCTATTAAGAATATAAGCAACAATAAGTGGGGGAAGAGGCACACTCATACACTGCTGGTGGGACTGCAAATTGGTGCGACCATTATTGAAAGCAGTATGGAGATTCCTTGGAAAACTTGGAATGGAACCACCATTTGACCTAAACTATCCCACTCCTCAGGCTATACCCAAAGGACTTAAAATCAGCATACAACAGTGATGCAGCCATGTCAATATTTATAATACCACAATTCATAATAGCCAAACTGTGGAAGCAACCTAGATGCCCTTCAATAGATGAATGGATAAAGAAACTGTGGTATACATACACAATGGAGTACTACTCATCATTAAAAGAGAATAAAATCATGGCATTTGCAGGTAAATGGATGGAGTTGAAGAATATCATGCTAAGTAAAGTAAGTCAATCCTCCAAAATAAAAGGCCAAATGTTCTCTCTGATAAATGATGCTGGTCCCTATGGGGGTGGGGGCATGGGATGAGTGAAGAAACTCTGGATTGGGCAAAGGGGAGGGAGGGAGGGAGAAGAGGGGTAATGGGGGTAGGAAAGATAGTAGAATGAGACAAACATCATTTCCCTAGGTACATGTATGATTGCAAGGATAGTGGGACTCCACTTACAACCAGAGAATGAAAAACTGTGCTCCATTTGTGCACAGTGAATCAATGTGCATTCTACTGTCATGCATAACTAATTAAAACAAATTTAATACAATAAAATAATTTAAAAAATTTTAAAAAGCAGAACATATTTGTTTAATTTGGAAAGTGTGTAAAATCAGGGGACTGTTCAAATTAGGACGGCCTTTCAGAAAGAGGGCGGGAAAGCCCAGGAGACATGGGTGAGCGAGGGACCCCTGCAGGAAGGCCAGTGGGATGTGCCGGGAGCTACGCACAGGCAGGGCCTCCTTGGTCGCGTGTAGAAATAAAGCATAAAGATCGTGTTAGGGTCAATGTTTCCTGATTTTCTGTGCTGCCAGCTGGGTTGTAGGTTTTGATTATTTACTTTGAGCCTGCATCTGCTTTCTACCTGAGAGAAGTACCTAGGAAGTGCCAGTTCGCTCCAAGAATGAGGTTTCAAGGGGCTGCCACCTGCAGTGGTAATGGCAGTAGAAGGAGCACAGGTGGTCTGCAGGACCCAGGTGTCCAGCATCTCAGTCAGACCACCCATGTCAGGGGTCACATACGCAGCACTCAGCAATGGTCAGGAAGAGCACCCACTGTGGAATCCACTTCTCCCTCACCATCAGTTCAGATGCAGCCAGCAGGGGCTGCCAGTTGTAGCAGCCAACATTTCCTGATTTGGGACAGATTGGATGACATGGGATGGTATGGGATGGCATGGGAGGGGAGGGGATGGGATGGGATGACATGGGATGGGATGGCATGGGAGGGGATGGGATGGGATGACATGAGGAGATGGGATGACATGGGATGGGATGATATGGGATGGGATGGGATGATATGGGATGGGATGATATGGGATGGGATGGCATGGGAGGGGAGGAGATGGGATGGGATGACATGGGTTGGGATGGCATGGGAGGGGAGGGGATGGGATGACATGGGTTGGGATGGCATGGGAGGGGAGGGAATGGGATGACATGGGATGGGATGATATGGGGTGGGATGACATGAGGAGATGGGATGATATGGGATGGGATGATATGGGATGGGATGACATGAGGAGATGGGATGACATGGGATGGGATGATATGGGATGGGATGACATG